GTTGATTTGCCAGTGAAACCGTGGTAAGCAGTTGTGAGAATTGCAGACCACATAAGCCTTAGTGACGAGTATGAATGACATCTATAAGTCGTGGGGGCCAAAGTTGGGAGCTGTACGAGATGTGAAAAATGTGGACCATAAAGGCGAGTATGAATGACGTCTGTAGGTCACGGGAGCCGGATTCGGGAGCCGCATGAGCTACTGACCACCTAAGTTGTTGGGGCGAGTATGGATGACGTCCGTAAGCCGCAAGGATCGGAGTCGGAAGCTACACTAATTGTAGATCACGTAGGACGTAGAGGAAAGTATGAATGACGTCTGTAAGCCACGAGGGGCCGAAGTCGGAAGCTGCATGAGCTAATGACCACGTAGGTCGTTATTAGCATATGAACTACAATAATGAGCTATTATCCCACATACTGGAAAAAGTTACTAGATTTTTCAAGTTATAACATTGACTGACGAAGTCTGGTTGGTGGTGGTTGGCGACGATAAACGGTAGTCGAGGACAATAGATGGTGATCAATGGAGGTCGGCGGGGGTCGATGATGGTGGATGGTGGTTGACAGGGGTCAACAGTAGTCGGCGGAGATCGATGTCTGTTGGCTACTGAGCTACAACTCCTCAGGGCCTCGGGCTCTCTCCTTATGCTTCAACTCCCATTGATGTGAGGGGTAGGGGTTTATTTATAGTGCTTTGGATACAATTAATTCAAGAATATAAACTAGTTTGATTGGTCTATTTAGAGAGCTTCCTTTAATCAGACAAATTTTAATGGATATTTGGGTGTCTTAATGATGTCAGAATTGAACAATCTTGGGCTTGTTGGATTCGTCTTGTTGAGACGTTAGATTTGACTATGAACTTGCTAGATTCGATATTAGTTTGACTTTCAAAATGTGTCCGAAAAATCTTAATGACTTGATCTAAGTTTGATTTGACTCAGATTAGAGTAGTTTTTATATCATTTAGTCCATTTCATCGAGTCAATCAGTTTTGACTATAACTTTGCTGAAATCGATGTTTTGAATGACTCTTAATTGAAGTCTGAATGTTTTTTATTCAAAAAATTATTATGAGACTTGTGTCATGTATTGAGATTCGTGTCAGATGATAAAAATTTGTTGGCGGCGTATAAGAAGATATCTTTCATAATTGATATTTCATGCTTTCTCTATTTATTGAAAATCCTTCATTTATGATAAAAAAACTAATATCAATGAAATAGTTTTGGCTAATTTACTATGTTGTGTGGTAGAAATTTGTTAATGGTAGAGAAATTTGAAGTCTTTGGCCAGCACAATGTTTTGCGCATACATACATACATACATATATATACATACATATATATATA